TCATAGTCGTCATATTATAAAGAATCTTATGGCCAACAATAATACGATGATAGCTGGTCATACTTCTCCGAGCAGTAGTACAATGATTGATCTTATGATACGAAGCAACAGATCAGTGGCGAAAGTAAAAGTTCTGACATTATTCTCCATGCTCTGCACTAATACATGCCACAATCAAATTTGTCTTAGGAGCCGCCTTGGACACGTGTGATCAACAATGATCAAACTCTGACTATCACCTCATTGATACACCAATGGCACACAATGTATCAATATACTATGTCGTGGGATCAATTTCTGAATTGGGTCCGACAAACATATCAAATTGATATACAAATGCATAGGATCGATGACCCCGATCCACAGCCTATGGAGTCCCATCGTTCTTTTTTGGTGGTAGAACCAGGTATATCCATCGATTGATTACTTGATTCATTTGAACCATAAAGTTAAAATTGTTTAAAAAAAATCTAACAATTCAAATCATTTCTTTATAGATAATTCAATATTAACGGAAGGATGACTTGAAACATAACATAAAGCTACTCCTCAAAGTCTGAAAAAGATGTCACTACAATTTAGATTATTTTTGCTAAAATTATACTAAGTTAATATTTATTTTTAACTTTAGAACCCTAATCTAACTTTTTATCAAGTATTTTTAAAGCCATTTTGGTATTTTTGGCACACAGTCGATACGCCCCAGCGTACAAACACATGGTTGGTACAACAGTACAAACCAGTTCGGCAATCCTTGGTACCACTAACATTAATCATTTCACCTCTTCCAACTATAACATACAGAAATCTCCTAAGCATATACTCATACCATCTTAAGCAATTTTCTCTAATCTTATTCTCTATCGAAGCGATATCTAATTGTTCACGAATAAAAGTATTTCTTTTCTTATCTTTCTTAGTAACTCCATACATCTATCTCATCATTATCATCGCGGCAAAACAAGCATTTTGTATATGTTATTTCTTAACTACCCAATACTTAAATCCATAAAGCATTTTTGATCTCCCAACAATCTTATAAAATTTACCTTTTAATATCAAAGATATCCAATGATCACACAAGACTCCTGACACCCCTTATCATTTTAACCATCATGTTTTTACTCTATGAATAATATCTTCATCGATCTCTCCATCTTGTTGAATAATTGATCCAATATATCTAAAGCATGGTTCGCCTTACTAATCCATACCAATGTACCGACCAACTATCGGTACGATAAATATCGAGTCATACTAAGGATATGGACACATGGGACATGGGGACATATTGATGTATCGCCTATACTGATTTCCTGTTGGATCGATATATACCGCCCATACTAAACGATATGTTACGGTACGATGAACCTTAATCTAAATCTTTTACTTAAAGGAACTTCTTGTTCATTCAACTAAACTACATTCTCATGTCTATTCTTAAAATTACTAAGATTGCATCTCATATATTCAATTTTAGTCCTACTTAATCTAAAACCTTTAGTTTTTTAGGATTGCCTCCATAGCTCAAATCTATAATTAATTCCACTTAAGCTCTCATCAACTAAGACAATATCATCAGTAAAATTTACTAATAGAACAATAAAAGAAAAGGGATAAAAATTACATCTATAAAGAGCATGTATGACTAAACTTACGGATAGGCTTTTTGTAGATTTTAGCATAAACAAAGCTACTTTTACAAATCAATTTGTTAGTTATAACATGTTCTCAAACGGGCATCTTGGAGAAAAGTTAAAAAGCAACTTCTAGAAGAGAAGGATGGGCTTCTCATAATGATACAACAGACCCTCTTCACCTCAACAACCCACAATAATTATGACCATCACTTCCACAGCCAATAATAGTTGTCATCGCTGCCACCAACACCACCTCCATCATGATCATAGCAAATGATGCCATCATCCCTGTTGCCGCCATGACCAACGCCACCTCCAATGCAACCATTGCCATCACCATCACCACCAACTACAACGACCATTTCTATCCACAACCACCACCTGCTATCATCACCACCACCACCAAGGGCAATCTTTGACAATATAGTTTGTGAGAGGTAACAGTAATAATCACAATTTGAGGAAACAGTACTAAATCCTACATGCTTGGAAAATAAACCTCATCAAACTGATACTTCCTAATTTAGCAGCCAAATCAGTTTAGCAAAACAAATAAAAGAAAAATTAAAATCAAGAAGTTCCAGCTACAAAAGTTAAAGTGAAATGCAGTCCAAGCCACTAGCACACTGACTTAGATCTCCAATACAGAGTTATAAATTGGAAATAAAAAAACAAGGTAAGCATAAGATGAAAAGTTTAATTATGCTTTCTTTTTCCATTCAGTGATGAACTAGCCTTCACTTGCTATACTAAGTTTGTTATTTTGGTATTATGCTTAATGAAGTTAATACAACAATATTTACACATTTATACGCTGCTTTATTATCTGAAATGTTGCTCCTTCATTACATAGTGATTGTGTTACTTGAAGTTTGGTATTATGGTTGTGTAGAATCTCTCAAGAGTGTCTAACAAATATTCTTTTTGAACTTGTGAACTTTCCTTGTAATCATAAGTTTAATATATTGTCATTTCTCTTCTCCTACTGATTTTGTATATTTAGATTCAAACTCATTAGCAGCTACATAGGCTACAAGTTGCTTTGCTTGAGAAACAATGTCATGTTGGGTCTGTTTACGTCACATATATATTGAATCTAAATATACAAAATCAATAGGAGAAGAGAAATGACAATCTGCTAAACTTGTATTTATGATTACAAGGAAAGTTCACAAGTTCAAAAAGAATATTTGTCAGACACTCTTGAGAGATTCTACACAACCACAATACTAAACTTCAAGTAACACAATCACTATGCAGTGAAGGAGCAACATTTCAGATAATAAAGCAGCATATAACTGTGTAAATACTAAATAGTGTTGTATTAACTTCATTAAGCACAATACCAAAGTAACAAACTTTAAGTAAAGCAAGTGAAGGCTAGTTTATAATCATAAGGACCAGGGAAAAAGACCTAAAAACGAGTACTTTTGGCTCGATGGCTGGACTTGTCACTACAGCAAGCCAAACAATCCTACGATGCTTACCTCTTTCGAGATGCTAAAGCTAAATTTTCAAATTCATATAAAGTAAAAGCAAAATAGATGACATTAGATAATAAGAAGATTAAAGATATGAACAGATAAAAGGAAATATATACTTAGTAGAACTAACGCTAGGTACACAATACAACATAAGACATCAGACAAAGATGCTTACACCATTGCGATAATAAAATAATCTTGAACGGATTGCAGAAAGGAATATTATGGTAAATATTAGTTCAAGAACAGAGCTTACGTGTAATGGCTGAAAGTAAAAGATAGCTCTCAGGTGTTAATTAATGTATAAAAGTATACCAATGGATGCAATTAAAATGACATCAACAGCAAAAAATGTGGACAAAGCCATGTTATTGGCAACTGATCAGGGTCAAAAAAAACATCTAGGCTACAAACTTCCTATATAAGGATGAATGCATGGATATATGTGTTATATTAAAAATTATATAGGATGTGATGGTGCACATTTAACTAGATGCATAAAATTACAGAAGACAGGAATATTTTTTTATAGACCTGTTGTATCCACCTTTCGTAGTCTTTTTACTAAGGAATAAACAGACAAGAACAAAAATATTTCTTATAATATAGACGTGTTGTATCCAACATTTCTAGTCTTTGCATATTGTTCTTTTTACTAAAGATTAAACTGACATTCTTTTTACTAATCCAAAAACTTAAACTTAGCTTAACAATGAGCAAATGGACTTTAAAAATAATCTGAACACTATCAGTTGCTTAAAATTGATGTCAACAGCACTTGAAAGTTGAAACAACTTTTACAGTCATCTCAGAAACTGCATCAGGTCCACAGCATAAGATTGAAAGGTTCTCCAGTTAAAATATTACAATGGAACAGATATAGATGGGTAAAGAAATCAAACAGACAAAGTAATGAATCAAAAATTGTGTAATGGAATGCTTTTCTTAAGTTGATTCTTTTTAGAAAGATGTTAATGACCATTTTATGTAAGCCACCCAAAAGGCTTCAAGACAACTGCATGATACAGAAGCTGAGGAGGTTAATTGCCAGGAAATGTTCAAACAGAAAATAAATGCGCCATACCTTTTTCTTAAGTTAGGGATTTGCGGCAACAGTTCCTATTGTATCAGTAATGCAACTTCTAATAAATGTATTTTGTTAATGAAACTCAAAGAAATGTATTTTGTTTATGACTCGATACTTTATAAAAGCTCTAAAATAATCACCATCATTGTTTCAAATTGTGACCAGTGTTTACCAGTCAAAACTCAAAGAAATGTACCTTGCTTTGACTCAATAATTTATTAAAATTCCAAAATGCTAATCACCTTGGTTTCAAATACCGACCAGTATTTACCAATCCAAAAAAGGACCATGATGGTCTGATACTGGTTGATAACATTATTTTATTATATTTTGGCATGGTACCAGGCGGTATAGGTCAGCATACCGCTTGGTACATTCATACCATGCCGGTCTAGTAGATTACTGAAACCAATACCAAACCCAGATTTAAAACCTTGTTCACCACATGTAAATGATTTGTAAATGCATGAGCGGCAAATTTTAGCTACATGAAAGAAATTTGCTTGTACGATGCCTTTGCCAAAGGTTCACCAAGGTCTCTTGAAGATTTTGGTAACTGATGTTCACAATCATCAACATCATCATTTCAGTCACATTCAAAGTCTTGACTGATAAAAATTTTCCTGGCTCAATTTTTATAACTAATATAGAAAGTCACATAAGTTATATGACTAGTCAATTATCCACAGTTTGTATACATATTTTATTACTTGTGAATTCAAATACTGGCTAAGCTATTTGGGTCACATGTATAAATTTGAATTTAAAAAAATAGAAAACTTTAGCTACCTGAAGTACATCTGCAAAACTCTTTCTCCTCATGCCAAGACCAACATCTGGTAGCCCAATAAACCCATCGCCACTCCTCTCAAGCCATTCCCCTGACTGCTGCCGAGATAGATTCAGTGGCAGCACCCCTCGACTGGGCTCCAGCATTTCCCGTTCCCCATCATGCATCAGGAAGCCTGGTTGCAATGAGAAAAGGGAGCTGCTTCGGTTATCACCACCCATGGATTCTTTTCTGCTCCGACTATCACCGACTCCTCCGAGCAATGATGCCCCTGCACGAAACCTCTGTTGTACACGCCAGTCCTCCTTCGATATTGCAGGCGGAGGCATCCTCGGATTAAGATTCTCATTGGAATAATAGTAGGATAAATAAGCTGGATGTGACCTCAAATCCTCCTCGGACAACAATTCTCCGGAATCCTGGCCACCGACAAGGCGAGGGGTCTCAGCGAACACATCATGCTCAAACAAGCTCCTAAAGGCGGTCCTTGATCCCTCCACAGTAGGAGGCGCGCTACCACTCCGGAAATTGAGCTCATCCCGGTTGAGATCGAAGAAACCTCGACTCTGATGCTGCTCCCGGAGCAAAACCTCAATATCCCTCTCGAAATCGTTATCAAAATTCCCACCCATTGCAGTTTCTGGCGCCATCTTCATGGAGCTCCGCGTCACCTTCACCAAAACCCTAACACCGCCTCCGTCACCGGATTGTTCCAACGAGAAATTTCAAAGAAGAAAATTCTTAACGGAGGAAGAAACAACAGATCGGCGGCAAAAGCTCTCACCTTTACGACAGTTCCCTCATCCAATCCACCCGAACGGCACCTGGAAACCCCGGTTCCGATCCAAAGATCGCTCTCTCACCAATCCAAGGAGCCGTTTTCCGATTGAATTAGGACATAAAACCGAACTTTAACCGTTGCGGATCGCCGTGAGAGAGAATCTAGGGTTTCGGAAAAACCAACACAATCGGTCTAAAGATCGCGGGAGGCGCACAAAAGAGGAACGAGGAGAGAGCAACGTCTCCTGAGAAGGAGAGATTTGCCGTGGTAAGACGATTCGGACCGTCAGATCTTGGACACAAGGCTGAGATCGCTTGTCGCACAACATCCGTGGCTCTTGAAGCGGTTCTCGACATGTCCCTTCTGATGAGGCGTCGTCAGCCGTCCGTTTCTCTGTTCGCACGATCTCGACCGCACACGTCGTCAGCTTATTACAGGCCTTCGGATTTCGGTCCAATTGGGCCTAAGATTGAGCACCTCGGGTGCAGCGGTTGCGGCACTTTTCCTTCCAACTCGTACCCACAACTACCTTCCTTTCTATTGGAGAATAACATCACCAAAGATGGGCTCCACCAGGAAATTCCCAATCATAAGTCAGCTAGAAGACGGGGATCGCGTTAAGCGCGTGGTGTACTGTGGACGCATGAAAGATGACGAACACACGTAGCTAGCCAAATGTGATGTACACGTATACGTACAATTGAAATGCGTGACATTATCTCGAGCGGGAAAATTTTATGAATGAAATTAATTTGATGGGTTTCAGGAAAACTATCACCATAGTTTACTTGCAGTTATTAGAATCGAATTGATGAATCATACGTAGGTATAAGATATTATTGGATTATGGTGAGGTGTCATGATAAGCGATACAGATATGTTGTCTTTTAATGACAGGAACGAAAGACCTTAAATAGGTTTTTTTTGTGTGAATTTATGAATATTTATATTGAAATATAAAATTGATTTATAAAAATATTTATAATTGATTTTAATATATTTTTTTATATAATTTTAAAATATATATAATAAGATTTTATTTATAAAAGATGTCAATTAATTTAGTAGATATATACTTTGATAGTATAGCTTGCTCGAATCTTTTTTTTATTATTTATCAATATTAAATATTTTGGGTTGAGACTTCGGAGAATTGGTCGGATTCTAAGAACATGAAGGGGGAGATGTATTATGTATATGAATAGGATAATAGATATCCAAATCTAGCTTGGCATGTGAGACTTGGATGATTAGATTCAGAGAACAAACAGAATCGAATCTGCAAATACACTCTATCCTGTCGAGGTGAAATAAACAGTGTCGAAGCTGACTAACAGCTGGAAACTGCGTCTTTTCCACCTGACCCACTCTTCATCTTCGTCGTCTTTTCTCGGTTACAGAGCACCAGGTTTTCATCATTGCTTAATAACAGGAAATTTTTGCTTAGTTATAATGTAGCTAGTTTTCTGTGCAATCTTTGCAGAAAATTTATCTTACTGAGCGCAGGAAACAAAGAAAAACGCGATAAAAATCCGTACTTGGTGTCAGCTTGATGGAATTGAATCCTCGTTCCCTATGCTCGCTTCAAAAAGAAGAGATCTTGAATGGAGTTTGGTGCTGCCCCTTGCCTTAGGATTTGATTCGAATTGCCTCCAAAATGGCGTCTTTTTTGTCTCGGAGGGTGATCGAATTGGCGACAGGAAGTCACTTGCGTGCGAACTCTGTTGCGAGAGCTCCGCCTCTTCCTCCAATGGAGCTGGGAGATTGAGATCTCTGCCGCCATTGTTCCTGTGGGCGGCGGCGAACGGGGAGGGAGGATGAGGAAGATGGGGAGCAGGGGAAGTGGCGACGGCGGAGGAAAGGTGGGTTCTTTTGTGGCCGCCGAGTGCCTGGCCGGAGCCGAAGACCCGGTAACAGTAAGGGCACCGCCAGAGCTTGGCGTCGTGGTGGGCCGCGCTAGCGCCAGAGAAATCCTCGCTGTGGATCCGCATCACGGCGGCGGTCGGGACGCGTTCCGCCCTCTCCCTCTTGTGGCTTGCGCGGTGGCCGCCGAGAGCTTGGTATGATCGGAAGACCTTCCGGCACGTGCCGCACCGGAATCTACTGCGCCGCCGCCGCGAGCTGGATCCGATCCCATCCTCCTCCACGTACTTCTCTGCTTCGTCCGCGTCCCAGCCGTTGGATTTGCGCTCCTCTGCCTCGTACTTAGACCACGCGTCGCGAGACAGCAGCATGAGCCAGCGAGCGACGGCCTCCTCGGAAGACACGTCAGAGACGGAGCTGAGCGGCTCCGCCGCAGGGGCCTCCGCCGGGACGCTGCGCCGGCGCTTGGGCCAGCGATGAAGGAACGACTCAGTGTCGCTCTCGCGGTCCTCGAAGGCGGAGGTGAAGGAGAATCCTGGGTCTGCAAGACAGAAGCTCTTCACCCGCTTCTCGCGGATAGCATACGTCGCCGGCCCCTTCCCGTCCTCCTCGGCCTCCATTGCAGCCACAGGTGAGGAAGACGAGGCGACAGATGGGGAGGGCAAGGGGCAGGGAAACCTCACAGGAACCACGTGGTGGGAGCGCATGTGGCCGGCGAGGGCGCGGCCATGGGCGAAGCGGCGGTAGCACCGCTTGCATCTGTGCCTCTCCATGGCTTGGTTGCTAAAGGTGGGATCTTTGGCGCTTTCAAGAGCAGCTCCTTCTACTGTTCCATCACTTTCTCCGCCTCCTTTGGCAGCTTCCTCTGGAAACAGCGAGAAATATGAGACCGCAGAAACCAACCTTTCCGGTCTCCCTCGCACTCCCCAACAAAGAGAGAGAGAGAGAGAGAGAGAGAGAGGATGAACTTAAAGATCAAAAGAACAATGGAGATGCGAAAGTCTACAAGAAAAAGTAAGAAAGCAGTAAATGCTGGGTGATCTGATGCTCGTCCTCATCAGCGCAACCATGAATGCTATGATTTGATTTGATTGAAAGCCATGTTCTTGAAACCAATTATCTATCATAATATCCCTTGAAGTGTGCACCTCACTGCATTGCCTCAATCCTTTGCCATGCTTGTCAAGAAATCTCAAGGAAAGTTATGAGAATTTTGTGTCAGAGGGCTTATTGGATTCTCATTTGGATCTAATTTACCAAATACTATCTAAAATGTTCTTTTTAAGAATCAACATGGATTTATTAATATGATAATTTGACATCATCTAAATCCAAAATATTAAGTTGCTAATTAGAACCAACTTCATTAACATCATGCTAATCTTTAGCATACATTTTTATTTTTGTCCTTTCATTTTTTTCCCAATAATAAAGCCACTCACAAATTCATGTGATGCCAACTCATGCATATACCCTACACTTAATGTTTGTGAGTGATGACATTACTTCTCATATGAAATAAAAAATAGGGTCCCTATGAATAGCAACCTTCAATAACTACACCACCTCCAAAAGTGTTTGTATTTTCCTATGTGTTTTTTTGCTGGGACCCAAGACATTTTACTTGTAGAAAAAAAAATAATGAGCAATTAACTATCTTTTTTTTCATTTAAAAGAAAATGTCTTAGGAAAGCCTAAGACATTGTTTTAAGAAACAAGAAGAACAAAATTATAATGTAATATAAATTATGTTAATGTGTATAAGCAATTATCATCTCACTAAAAATATATGTATGTTTATGTGTACACCCAATATCCCTAAAAATATAATATAAATTATGTGCATACCCCCTCTCCATATTTCATTCCATCAATTTCTTTCTTGATTATAATGTCATTTACAATCCTTATAGAAGACCCTAAGGGCATAGTTGCTTAAATTTAGCTTAAACTAATGTAGCATTTAAGGCAACTTCAAGTAGTATTCATCTAGACACAAATTAATGATCAAAGATTATTAATATATATCATCATATAGGTTAAGAGTCAAGGATGATTTCCTGAAAATTTTTTCTATTCTTTTTTAGAAAGTATCTTTAATTTTTATTTTTATAGTATCTCTTTTTTTTTATCTTGTAAAATATTCTTACCCTTTCATTCTCTCCCTGTCCTTTCGAGATAAGAATATTTATGAAATTAAAAAAATACTATCGAGAAATAATAAAATAAATATATCTTTTGAGAAAAAATAAAAAAATCCCCAACAGTTGATGTACAAAAATCACACAGAGTAATTACTAATAGTTTCATATTTTTTTTTTTTCAAAATATGATAACAGTAATTATTATTATAACAACAACAATAATAATACTGATGATGTCCTACTTATTAATATATATAATATATATTAATGAGCAGGACATCATCATCAGTATAATTATTGTTTGTTGTTGTAGTAATTTATTGTTATCATAAGACATTGTTATTAGTATAATAATAATAATTATTGTTGTAGTAATTAATGAGCAGGATATTATTGTTGCTGTATATATATATATATATATATATATACATGTGTGTGTGTAATATTAATGAGCAGCACATCATCATCAGTATTATTATTGTTGTAGTAGTAATTACTGTTATCATACTTTAGAAAACAGAAAACAAAAACTTTGGCTGCAGGTCCGGTCAAAGTCACTCACACACACACTCGAGAGGATGGTGGAATCGATAGCGACGAGAGGCAACCAAAAGAGATTGGCAGCCACCGACGCATAGAAGAAAGTACTCCGTCAACCCCCTCTGTCAACGGGCTTCCCCTCTCCGCCCTCCCTCCTCCCCCTTCCGCTCTCCTTCCTCCAAAGATCCCACTTTCCCCTTCCCGGATTTCCCTTAACTTCGCTCGTCGTCGGAGGGACAGGAGGCGGAGGAGGCAGAAGAGCACCGCGAGGAGGAGGATCCTAAGGGAGGGTCCTTGGCATGGATTGCGGGTCGGCAGCCGCCGGGGAGGGGCACATCAAGGGCGTCCCGACGCACGGTGGCCTCTACGTGCAGTACAACGTGTACGGCAACCTCTTCGAGGTCACCGCCAAGTACGTCCCCCCTCTCCGCCCCATCGGCCGCGGCGCCTACGGCATCGTCTGGTGAGTCGAGAAGTCTCCTTCTTCATGGTTTTCGAGCTGCTTTGAGTTCCCTTTGATAGGCTCGTGATGGAGATGTTGTCTGGTTCCAATTGGGTTCTTTCTTCCCTTCGTGTTCACCGTTCACTTTGTGGTTTGAATTGAAATAATTCAAAGGAAGAAGAAGGTTAGGGCTCAATTTTGAGTGATTCTTGATGCGGTAGCACTGAGTTTCGTTGACTTGGCATCGTGAATGGGGCAGATCCAGGTAAATCTCCGAGGCAAAACTTCTCGCAGCAAAGTGATAGACACTATGCTGATGATAGTAACGTTAGCTTGAGATTTTAGTCCCTTCGAAAGATAGAATATTGAGAAGAATGGGATGGCTTTGAGATGGCTGGCAACGAGGTAGTTTCTTTTAAATGATCTTGTGGTTGAGAGGTCCGTACTAGATCACTCTATTATCGGACCACTTGAACTACAGGGGCTATGCTTTTGAATGTGGAAACCTTTACAGCAGTGGTGATTACATGCGATCTCTGTCATGTTCTCTGCCTTCTCTATTCTATGGAAGTTGACATGCTAATCTCCGTAGTTAATGTTGCCTCAATAACTTGATACTGTATGATTTTGTGTTTTGCCGATGAATGTGATGCAGAAGGCAAACTCATTGCTGCATTTCTAGAAACTGGAGCAGGCTAATTGATAAAATGAGCATGATTAACTGTGCTATGCAATAACGGGCATCACACAGGCTCAAATTTTGTCATAGGTAATTAAAACTAAAAATATTGGAATAGTCTTCCATGACCCTAATTCCTTTATTTCTTGTGGTTGGCCATGGCTATATCAGTATCTGTGGCTGCCGTTGCACCCTGCTGTTTGGCTCTCGAACTCAACATCTGCAGTCAAAAGTGAGGAGGCACCTTGTTTGTTTGTCCTGATTCTCATGTATAAATAATAAAAGGATGGAAAAAAATTAAGGCTTTTTTAATGGAACTACACAAGGTTTGCTGATATGATGCAATTTGTGCCTCTTAATGAAGCTCTCATTAAAAATGATCATGGAGTATTTGTGCTCACAGTTCACCTAAGTTATGATCTTTGACAACAACAGTCATGCACCTATGGTCCAAGTTAAGCATAGCTTGGACAAGACAACAAGTTATATCGTCAATGCAGATTAGTCATGTTCTGTATTAATAGTTTAATTATTCTAATCAATCTTTGGTACAACCATGATTAAAAAAATATTATTTTCCCCCCTTCTTTAGTGCTGCAGTGAATTCTCAGACTCGTGAAGAGATTGCAATAAAGAAGATTGGCAATGCATTTGATAACAGAATTGATGCCAAAAGAACCTTACGAGAAATAAAGCTTCTTCGTCACATGGATCATGAAAATGTAAGTCTAGCATGAAGCTGACATGACTTTGTCGTCATTTATATTCTCTCTATGTTTTTTTAGTTATAAGATAATTCAATTAATTTGCAATCTCATTCCTAGTGTTTCTGGTAGTTGAATGGATTTTCTGACAATTTGACATTGGATGACTCCGCCGCTCATAGTCATTGTCCAGCATTGAAAGGACTTAATTCTTTAATCCAGAGAAAACTAATACAAAAAATCTAAGATTTACTAGTAACCAGTAATACTGAAACATGTTCAGATTCATAATGAAGTTTCACTCTGCTTCATGATGCAAGACTAGAAGTGATTTTGGTTAAACCTAGCGCTGTTTTTGTTTTTTTGAGTTTGATTATTTAGTCAGGAATAATTTCTATGTTTTTGTAGGCATTCCAACAGGTTTCATTCTGAGTAACATAAATCGTGCTGGTTTTCTTCCAAGTATTCATTTTCTTAAGCCTTCAAATAAGCTAATCTTGAGTCCGTATTAGATGAGGCTATTATCTGACAACTTAAAACTATGAGGGTATGCTTTTTTGTATAATAACCTTTACTTCTAGAGTGATTGCATGCCTTTTGTATCACTTAGCTAATGCTTTTTGCTTGTTCCCTTTTATTCAACTGGTTGTTTATAGTGGCTCTTGATGATTAAGTTTTGTTCTTAATTATGTTGAATTTTTGCCTGGGCACAAAGAAGGCACAACAAGACATAAAATCTATATCTTGCTCACTTGACTTTGCAGGTTCAATTGCATGCTTATGGCATGGACCATGCACTTAATGAAAGGCTTAAGGATTATAAAGATGCATCCTTCTTAGTTTCCAATATTCTTTTTTTTTTTTCTAACAGATTGATGATTCAGTTAGGTTTGGTTTCATCTTTACATTGTTAAATTGGTTCCTAGGCTTTTAGACATCTTAGTGCTTTTGTTTGATTTGAGCATTCAATAACCTGGAATGTGTAGACATAGTGACAAAAAAGGAAAGAGGGTGGTACTACTAATTCTCATGTATACCATACAGTGTTGTGGTTGGCATGCTATTCTCTGGTATTTATAGATACAACCAAACACACTTTGTAGTGTTCAAGAGAATAAGATGGTTATCACATGGGCACTTTTCTAGTCCTGGGCTAAGATAACTAAATCAAATTAAATTGAAAAGACTATGGAATTTTTTTTATTAATCTAGCAGTTAACTCAAATGGAATTATTTCGAGAAAGATCAACCCATACTTACTTCACTATTTCAACAATTTGTACTTATTTTATGTTATTGTTTACTGCTTTGGATGTAGTAGATTAATCTTACATTGTGAAATTTGAGTTTGATCAGTCTTCCATGTGCTTAGCTTGATAAGGTTGCAGTTAAGCCATATTTAAAGAGAGTTTTATTTTCTAAAGGGCACTCTATCTTTCATG